GATATTATGATTCATAATACAATACTCTGTGGTCTTCCAATTTCCTTTAAAACACTGAATCATACATCTACAGATGCTAAAGGAACATTAATTAATTATGTTAACAGACATCTTGAGAGGATTAATGTGCAAAAATTAGATAACTAAGTGCATGCCATTTAGGCTTAAAGTGCAACTCCTGCTGTGTCATGTGAAAATGTTATGCAGAAAAGCACCTGTATTCTCCATAGCGCAACAAAATAATGGGGGGCTTATTAAGCTTTACTAATTTGTTACATAAAGTGGCATGTACAGGAAGCTTGTGCTGACTGCTGTCTGCATTTTGTCAAGGAAGGATGATCAAAAGGAACAAACAAAAATAGTCTGGGAATATTTTACTGGATATACAATGAGCAAGCTGAGGCAAAAGAAAATGTGGGATGCCCTTGGTTTTGTCCTAATCTCCCCTCTCTTACCCTGGTTTACTGGTTACAGCCATCAACACAGGGTGCACAACCCTTTTGACAAGGATGCACCAGTGCACATCTTCTTTGCAGGGCTACCTTCAGTGACAGTGACCAACATGCTTGTATTTAGGTCCCTGTCCTTCCAAAGCCGCCTGAGGTACAAGGGAACATGAACTAGAGGTAGCATCAGGCTCCTTAGAGCACTCATTACAACCTCTAACCAAGATGTCACATCCTGCATGCAGTGCAAGCACCCCCAAATACCCCAACCATATGGGCTGTCTCAGACCAGAGCATGGGTTTACAGATTGCTTCCAGAGATGCCATCAAGATGAAAACACAATCTATACACCTTGACAAGGTATCTAACATCATTGCTTTGTACTTATGCAACAAAACAGATAGAAAGCCCAGGTAAAAGTATGGCGTTACACACTTCAGTGTCCCATCTCTATAGCTGTTTCTGCATAGTTTGGACTCGAACCAGAGTCTTTTTATGAACCAGGATCCCATTTACCTCTGAAAATATGATCTCTTTTTTCTTTTTCCCTACATCTACAGTTAGCATTTTCAAAATAAAATTATCAAACTACTTTTCTTGGTTGAACACTTCATTCATTTCATATGAACCTTGGGTCTGACAACAGACTGTCCTTCTTTTTGGTCCCTTATCTAGCTCTACATGGCCACACTAGTAACTGACTTTAACCTACCTTGACTCAAACTCTTTGGAGAAGGAATGTCACTTGTTTCTGCATTTCTGCAGCATATTCCAGTGCATCCCACTCCATGATCTTCCATGATGCAAATAACACGGCTTGTGAAGCATGTATCATTAAGATTGGCACCAACAGCAAAGGGCTCCATAAATTCTCACTTCCAAAAACCACAGCTATTCATTATTTCAAATTCTGTTTAAGGGGCTTTTGGATCACAATCTCTATTCTCCTTCTACAACAACAATAGGACTGTTAAAAAGGAACACTGTCCTTATTGCTTAAACATAATGGAATGTTTTGTCCACCACACAAGGAGCTAGATCCTAAAGCCTTCCCTGTTTCCTCAGGCAAAACTCCAGCAAGACAATTCAAAATTACATTCAGTTCTTTACAAGCATCCTGCTTAATATGCGTGGGGTGGGAGAGGGACAGTGTCACTACGGAGTAGCAGGAATGGGCATAGTTCAACAGTTATTTTCTAAAATCATGTTTAGAAAATTTTAGAAAATTCAGGAAATGCTAGTTTGTTGAAATACAGTTCCCTGTACACTTGCAAATCCCAGTGACACAAAGGGTGTGTGGAGGGGGAAATAATTTTAAATTAATTTGAACTTCTCTCTTGCTTGCGGTGTTCTATTTTTAGATACAGGATTTGTGTTAGATGTTCTACAACAAGCTTGATTATATTCTCTAGTGTTATTCACATTAGTCTTATTATTCATATCATGTTCCTTATAGAATCCTTAATCCTAAATCCCACTGGACTAGTCATGCATACTTAACCCAGAAAGATGGCTCTGCTCCAAAATAGTTTTGGATTGAAACACAAAACAAAAGACAAGATTGATACAGACAATGACACAAACACAACACAAGGTAATACTGGTCAGCTGAATAGGAAAGAGCTCAACATACCAGAAGCCTATACATATAGGGCATATATATATACATATACATATATGTATAATAAGTTTCAGGCCCAAAGGAAAAATACATAGAGATATGTTTCAGGACACCAAGATGACATGAAGAAACTAAAGGTGATTAAAAACAGAATATCTACACACAAAGAAAATGTTTTCACAGAGAACAGAGGCCACGTAGAGCCAAAAAGTAGTGGTTAACTTTATTAACAGTAATCACACTTTTATTGCAGATATGCAAGTTAAACTCCTATTTCTGCAAATAGACTTGCTTTAATTGGTTCTTTGAAAGATTCACAATAAGAATAAGCTTTTATCTCCTTTTTCATATTTCAAGAGTAATTTAAGCTGTCCAGAGCTCTGTACTGTTGCAGATAGGCTACTCCTGGCCCAGATATTTCTTGCCATAAAATCAGAAGAAATTGCTCCTATGCTTAAAGAGAGCACTCCAGTTAAAATGGCATATGCTGAACATATCCTAGGCTTATTTTGATTTTACTTTCTGATCAGAAGTTACTCTTTTACATGTAACATTTGCACAGCTCACAAAGTACAGAAGATTGGTGTTGCTTGATGTTCAGAATGGATCCTGCTCTAGAACCAAGACCGAGAGCAGAGGGGTAGGATCACTACCCTTCTCCAACAGGCATCCTTTCAAGTGGAGCTTAGACTTGAATGTCTCTTCATCACAACCAGAGAAGTCACTTATTCCTGGTGACAAATCTCAAACCCCCAGAAGCATTTAGCAGATTACACAAATAAAATAACAAAACGGACATACCCATCACCTCAGTCATCACTGGCATTTGTGAAACAACAAAGTGAAGTTGTAGACTTAACTCTTCTGTGGAGAAAAAATCTGACGGTCTTGTTTTTGCCAGTGGTTCAAAGTGGTAGAAATCTCATTCTAATATTTAGCTGGGGAAGGAACTGCAGGTCTTCATGCATAAAGAGGAGCATATGAATGTGGAGGGACTGAGATAAAGGAACAGCCAGCAGCTTTCATACGTAGCTCACTCATTACCATGTTCACTGTGGGCTGAGCTCCACAGGGCATGTACGCTGTTCCTTTCTTGTCCCAGTCCAACCCACTTTGGTTGTAGTAGATATCCAGGATAGAGTGGACCCTGCATCACCATAAATCCTCAAGTTCATATTAGTTATCTGCCAGGTACTGTGTGGCTCAGACAGAAGTTTAGGGTTTTTACTAGTCTGACTAGCTGAAGCCCACTTCAGCTAAACATTTACAGAACTTTCTCTGGTAATCAAAAAATTATAACTCCCTCCTTTAGCTTAGGTACAACAGGTACCAAATCAGACTTGTTCATAAACATATTTTCCTCACTCTGTTTGTCACTCTAGGCAGCAAATCTTATTATGACAGCAGCAATAATAAGTATCCATAGCTGTCTGACTGGAGCAAAATTCCCCCAACGCTGGCAAGGGTGACTGTGTACGGACAGATGCCAGCTACAGCAGTATTTGCTTTTTCACAGGCTTTTTCACAGGCTTTTTCATGGCCTTCAAGTTGCTAGATGACTCTGGTTTGTCCTCTTGTTTTTGTCTTCTGATAACTTCAACTTGCTGGTTTCTGTAAGCAGATTCCCCTTGCTTTGTGACAGCATTCCCCACCCACAGCATGTTTGGAAACATGCATCAGTTGAGATCCACAGTGAAAACCGCTGGCTGAAATTTGGATATCCCCTGAACAGGCTGTATGTGGTACAGTGACAAAGGCCCTCATCCAGAACCCACTGAAGTCAAGACAAAGAATGATTGACTTCAGTGGGGTTTTCATCTAGTTCTTGGGGATCTGATTTCCAAGGCTGTTGATCTGTTGCCTTTCATAAGCACTAATTTTACTGATGTGTTTTTCAAGACAGTTCAGCTATCACTTGGATAATTTCAAATCTGCTAAGTCATATGGATGCGCTGCATGCCATGGTCCACAGAAATGAAAGGTCAGCTATTAATTGGCTTCAGTTTACGCTTAGTTACTTCAAAAAGTCCCTCTCACAACATTTGATTTATGGATAGATATATTTGGACCTATTTATCTCAAAACCAAAATTCTCTGGTTTGCAGCCATTGATTTTATAAAAGAGATAATAAAAACATAATTAGTATGGAGATGCAAAAGCGGAAATAACACAGAAAGTAATAATCATTAAAATAAAAATTTAAACAAGTCTATAAACCAAACCCTTGAGACATTTGGTAGGTGTAATGCAACTTTTATACCTCTTAAGGCATAACTTTCAAAGAAAATTAATTTAATTCTTTTGCTAACCTTACTCAAACCCAATCAAGTAACAGATAGCAAGAAAAACAATGATATGCACACACAGTAAGCTTTCATTTAGTTCAAGTGGTGATTCAAGTATTTTGTTAGCATAATAAAGACCTGAAACCCATTTCACCAACAGGAACACTGAAATCTGAGAAACTCTGGCTTTTGCATGAGACTTCTTGGATACTTAAACCTGCTGTGGGACACTTATTTGTGCTGGCCTGTCATCAGGTACTGCAGTCATGATTCAGACATAAGCTATAAATATTGCAGGAGGGACACTAGTTATAGTCAAGGTATGCTGCGGAACCAATAGCCGGTATCAGTGGACCTCTGGGTCCCAGTCTGAGCTGGCAGAAAGGAAAGGACTGACCCTCTCCATCCCACCACAGATAGGACCACCTGCAGCAGAAGGTTTAGCTGAGGGAGCTCGTACCACAAGCTCAACCCTAAGCTTGATGTGATGATGCATCAGAGCTGAGCCCTCCTTGGGATGCCCAATAGGCATCATGCTGTCTGCATAATGCTAGATGGGAGGCACCTCTTGCAATGCTGTGAAGGGGTTGCTAGGACAGAGGCAGAGGGTCAAGAATCTCTTTAATGCCCCACCTCTCTCCCTGAGGTCCTGTCCTGAGTTCCCAGCAGTGTGATTCCTGCTTAACTGCAGAAGGAAGGACTGGGTCCTGGAAATACTGAAGTAGGTAGGATGAAATTGAAGCATTTGGTCATTATGTCTACCCTGAAATGTATGGCTTCATTTTCCCTGTTGCGAAGCCTTCCTGCCTCTGGCTGCCATCAACACACCTCAGACTGCACACACACAGATTAGAAAATCACAAAAACTGTTAAATGTGCAGTTACAAGTATTCCCATAATTATAGGCATACACGTCAGCCTTAAGGGGTTTTGCCCTCAGGTTCCCCACCTGTAAAAGAGAAAACAAGGCATTTCACCTTTCCAAGGCTAGGACAGGGCTATTTTTAGAGTCAGATGAGGTCTTAAGCAATGGGATAAACATGAGATAAAAGAAGTCATATGCTGCAGGGAAAGTTGCTCTCTACTAACAAATTCCTGAAGGTTCCATTGCCATTGTTCAGTGACAGTGCTGAGATATCCGTACTCATATAAAGACTGCAATTCTACAAGCAGATTTGCTGATTGCCAAAGGCACGGTCTACAAACCAATCATTATTGTTATTCATATCAATTAGTTTTTAAGACTGATGAAAAGCCAAAAGATTCAGCTCAGTAGGTGGCCTGTCCCAGCAGCTGAGCCTCAGAGAACCATAGTGCAGTCATTCCATGTGTCCTCTGACTTCACTGGGGCTTCAGTAGGGATTTAATATCCTTGAGCCACACTAACCCTGGGGCTTTGGAGACAGATCCTGAGCTTCAAACAGCCCTGTGGGAACCAGAGTCCTCAGGCACCCACATATCTGCAGGAAAGCATGACCTTCAAGCAGGTCTGATAACATTCTTCCCTCTGCCTCCCTCATGTTCAGTTCAGTTAACAAGCAAGGCACTCTTCCATGTTTAGCTGGAAAGCCACGCAGAAGTGTTCTCTGAACAAGTCTCATCCCAGGACAACATCAGGCAGCAGCAGCTGCCAGCAGCACTGGAGCAGCTCAGCCATCTGCCGCTCAGTGCCTGTGCCATGGGATAGGAGTCAGGGACCAGCCGCTGCCAGGTTGGATGAGTGTTCTGGCAGGCTCAATGCAGGCTGCAGGATTCTCACTCGTCCTCCTCCTCGTGCACATCTCCAGCAAGTCAAAGGTGCCTCAAGTCATGACCTGGGTGTGTGTCTCAGTAAGCTCCAACATTAGCCAGGGTGCTTACAAGGCAGGAACAGCAGTTCCCAAGGTCCCCTTGCTCCATCCCACACATCTGGCTATAAATGATGGCCAAACTTCAAAACTAATTCCTTTTTCCAGATCCTTTCTTAAGCGTTTATAAATTTAAATACTTATCTCTCCCATTACCTCAACCAACCTGTTGATATGTCAATTGAGGAACATGTTGGCAAATTGGCTGCAAAAGTTTCTTCTCCTTCCCCTCCCATGTCCAAAACATACAATTACATCATCCTAAACTCATATAAACTCCCAACTGTGTTTATTTCAGAGCTGCAAAGCTGATTTGACTGATCAAATTGATACAAGGAAATGGAAACAAATTGCTTTACAGCCTCCAAATTTGCTTCTAGGGCCCAAACATCTTTCTTTGTGCCTCAGGCCTCAGCAATTCTCCACCAAATGGGTCTGAGCACAAGCCACACACATTAGTTCATTCTCACACAACTCTTTTAGGGCTTTACACACTCAGATTTTATGTTTTCCTTCTTTTAATTTCCAAATTCCTGGTTTTCTTTAATTATTCACATACTTACTAAAGCACCTTGCCAATGTCTGTTTAAAATGAATGGTGTCTTCTTATGGTCAGATTGATGGTACTGGGTCAGGCCAGAAAGCTATCTTACAACTTTTTTCCCCTAGTAAAAGCTATAATGAGAACTATGTGAATAAATGATTTATTTTTTTGTTGTTGTTGTTTAATGCTTGAACTGAAAAACTAAGGAAAAAAATACTATTGGATGACTCTCAAACTATTTCATTTTTCACAAAGGAATGAAAACAAGCACAAAACCACAATAAATGTTTTATTGCAGCATTTTTCTCCTTTGAAAAATTATCACTGAATTTAGCTAAAGTAGGCTTTAAAACATCCAGACTGTAACTATTTGATTTTCTCTCCCTGCATTTGATCGTTTTTATTTTCTTCTGACAAAGTATCCTGCTAAATACAGCTGTTATTGCTAGATGTGGAGTGACCTGAAACTGCTTTTTTAGCAATAAAATGCATCTTTCTCTCAAAAATTATTCTTCTTCATCCAGAGAGAGATCTAACATTTTCCTCTCTTGTAGAATAAAACTAAGTGATATGTTATTATTTCATGGGTCTTTTTTTCCATGATGCTCAAAAATCCTACCTAAAACCTTTCTTCTAGGTTCTGAGGTAGCTTCTGCTTTATCATCCCTAATGGCAAAAAGGGAAGAGACAGGAACCCACAGCACCCTGCCTACGAAGCAGTATTTACTCATGAGGGGACATGGAGATCAGCCATGGGATTTTGCTTATACTGTATGCATGGAAAATGTAAACCAAGTTCCAGAGGTGACATATCTAATGTCAAGGGCAACATTATTTATAGCATGTTTTTGTCATTGACTGTGTCACCATAGCATCTCTGCTCTTCTTAGAAACACAGGAAATCCCAGAGCAGCCTTGTGGAAAGATATTTTGGTCTGTAACAGGGACCCCTGGGTGCATGTTGACCCCACATCTAATGCTGACTTTGGCTCCAGATGAGGCATTCAGACTAAGGTATTCAAAGCAAGTGGAAGCAGCCCTTCGCTCTTCTCTTTGCAGCTGGCAAACTTCAGCCAAACCACTGGCTTTCCAATTCAACTTTTCATAACCCTCCAAACTAATCCCAACCTTTGCACTGGACTCAGTACAACTGGCAAATTTATATCATATGCCTCCTTATGCATCCTTTAGTCTCACAAACGCTATATTACTCAAGCACTGGTCATGGAGAAGGCACTCAAGGCCACACAAGCCTGAGAAAGAGTATGATATTTAAACAGGTTGATTGTAGTTAGCTATTTCCTGCACATAACTGGAAGCCTTCATTGAAACAAAATGTTTCATCTGAAGCATTACAATAGAACCTAGTGCTAAACCTAGCCTTGGTTATAGATAAGGCCTATTCCTCTGTGTGAAAATTTACAGTGAGTAAAACAAGCTGATGCAAACTATGTTTTCCTTCACCAACATGCCAAAGTTCAACTATAAGCTTGGATCTGCAAAGCATCTCTCAAAGCCTGTAAAAGTAACTTGAACAAAAATACAGTAAACGAGAAAGGCATAAAAGCACCAGAAGAAACCTGAGCTTAAGGTACTTGAATAAAGTGATACCAATATTCTCCATCACAAAACTTGCAAATTTGAAAATGACTGCAGCTCTGTAGGCACCAGTTTCATAGGCTGTCCCTAGTCTAAGTTAACCTGTGCCAGGAGTATGTACCGAACAAAGATTCAGAATAAGGCAACCAAATCAAGTGAGAGCAACACACAGCTTTCCTTCTCAGGGTTAATAAATTCAACCCTAACCATTATTCTACCATGATTCTTTTCATGTTCATAACCTCACCTGGACACTAGCTTCTTACATGGTCAAACTGCTCAGCAAAACTTAGAATAAGGCAAATTGTGAACAAAGCTGGCCTGAATAAACTCTAAAATTCCAATATTTTTAAATTAAAAAAAAAAAACCAAAACTTTAACAAACAATTTTAAATTCACAGAACCTGCCACTGTTTGCTTCCAAATCACTTCTGCACCTGCAACAAACCTTAAAACTCAGGCAATGCACACTGCTCAGCCTAAAGGTAACCCTCAATCTGGCTCACCCACCCAGCTGTCCGAGTGAACCTAGTGTTATTCACACACACAAATTGAAACTGGGGATATAGCACACAGAGACACCAATACCAATTTCCACCTCTTTCCACTTGAATAACTGTGAATTTCAGAAACTACGTACGACTTTGACTCTGCTTCCCTGTTTCACAGACCCTAACTCTGCTCTGCTCCCTAACTCCTAACTCCCTCCTTCCCTTTCCCCTGGTTGTGTCTAACACTGACCTAATCCTGGATTCCCAATCTTTATTCTCTGGAAGCCCAACCTGAAGACATCTCCAGCCTTTGACTGGCCTATTTACAACACTCACACTTGGAAATGAAACACAGAAGGTCTGACAAAATGCTCTTTCTTTTTTCCTCTTCCTTAGCTTTTCTCACAAGCATCAATGTTTCAGCTAAAATATATGGTGGAACAGACCATAGAGTCATTTATCCCCTGTACCATGGGCACTATCCCTATTCCAAATGTCAGCTATGGATTGGGCCCCAGCTCCCACCATAACCAAGAGAAACTAGAAAAAATGCCCTTAACATGAAAAATAAATCAATAATCAATGTGCTGTGTTGAATTTCATAAATCTTACCTGACCTTATTTATAAACCCATAATTCATTCATTCTTCAGAAAACAAAAGATAGATTCTGGTGTTTATTGAAGTCCTCAACCAGGAGCATGTTGGGAACCAAGACATAACATCACCTGCATCTGTGGGGAAGGCTGAACCACAGACAACATTTGACACAACTGAAGGCAGACTCAGCGTGAGCCAGAAATGTCCCCATTGCCCAACAAGCACACAGGGTACATGTACATCATGGTGCCCAGAATGGGTCATATAGAAAATTTAAACTACTGAAGACCTGATATATACCAGACCCTTAGGTATCCAAGTCAAGGCAGTGCAAGAAGGCACAAATAACCAAGACACTGGGATGAGATTCAGCAGTCAAAACAGTGAAGGTGAAAGTTATAAGAAAGAAAACAAGTCCTTTGATGAGAAACTCCCCTTGACCTGGCTTCAGTGTGTGCTTGAGCCCAGAACCCTCCCTTGTAAGAGTAAAGGGGGGGGATTCTCTGTCTCTGCTGTGCTCTGGGGAGACCCTCCCTGCAGTAATGCTTCAGCTCTCAGGCAACAACACAAGAGGGACATGGAGGTGTTGGAGTGAGGCCAGAGGAGGCCACAGAGATGCTGCAAGGGCTGGAGCAGCTCCGCTCT